CAATGTCAGTATTCCAAATTTAAAGCTATATTATACCACAGGAAGATTTCATTAAAAGGAAACCAAACAGCATTCTACAAGAACTTACAATCTAAGGTTTTAGAGACCTGTATATCCCAGCATCCCCTAAAGTCCTAGTGTTTGTAAAAAGTCTTCTTATCCCTCTGAGTATAGCTTCCTTTTAGGAAGTCATCTTTCTTTCATCCCCTTCCCGAGGTCACTGCTGGTTTGTATTCTGCTGAACCAAGGCAATGATCTTTCTTCGATATCCAAGATATCCCAACATTTTTCCCTGGGTACTATGGGAGGTAGTGAGGAAACCAGAGAAATCATATTCTAGCCTAACACACTTTTGGCAAAGTAAGGAATTTCTCCCTATTGAAGTGTGCATGTTTTTTGCTTATAGTTTACTTGGCACAACCAGGGGCAAAGTTTTTGTATCACCTTCAGCCAAGAGTGTGCTGGTAAATGTTTAACAACTAGCTTACCCATCTTGGGGGGGAGGGATTGGAGGGAGGGGGAATTTAAAACTCAAAATCTTACAGAAGTGAATATTGAAAACTAAAAATAAATAAATAATCAAAAACGAAAAACAAAAAACCAACTAGCTCTCAAAACTCTCAAAAAAAAAGACATGTTACACTTCTAAGTTTAATCTGCATTATTAACATTTTCTCCATAACTTTCTTAAGTTTACCAAAAAATCAAGCCCTGAGTTGTAGCATTTGCCATTTCCAAAGTGTAAATGTTCACAATGAAAATCCAGGGCAGCTAGGTGGCTCAGTGGATAGAGCACCAGCCCTGAAGTCAGGAGGACCTGAGTTCAAATGCGACCTCTGATCAAACACTTGACACTTACTAGCTGTGTGACCCTGGGCAAGTCACTTAACCCCAACTGCCTAAAAAAAAAAAGAAAATATAACAATTCAGCTGGTTCAAGCTATCTCCAGCACACACCCCTTCCTTCAACCCTTGATTCTCTTGGAATCTCTTCTGCATATTAATCTTCACCTAAGAATATTTTTTTGCAGAGGGTTATACAATCACTGTTTCGGAGTTTGCTCTCTGATGCACAGAGGTTCACCCAGAAGATGCATTTTTAGTGTTAATCTCAGAGGCTTTCTTTAGAATGCCCCACTACCAAAACTTGTCCCCACTTTGAGGACAGTGGTATTACAGCATCTTAAACAGAAAGTAACTAACATTTCACCTCCAATCAAAGGTAAAGAGTCTTACTGCAAGGAACCAGAAGATATAACTACAAAATGTATAAAATACTTGGGGGCCTACCAACCAGACACATATACAGAGGAATTATATGAATACAACTGTCAATCAATAAACATTTATTCAGTGCCAGGCTGTGAGGGACTGTCTGATGTTGGCAGCTACCAGGTTGGGAGCTGTGGCAAGGGTAGGGTAAGATCTGGGTATTTTGGAAGTCGAGGCAGGGGCTGTGGTAGGCAGAGTCGTGGTGAACTGGGATGGGCTGGATATGGAGAAGCCCTGAGGCAGTGGGCAGTGCTGTGTGAGATAAGCTGGGTACAAGAAGTAGCCGGAGCTTGAGCTCCTGAGGCAAGGGGCGGTGCCACGTGGGAGTGGGATGGCAGAGGACTGAGTTCCCTTTGCTTAGTCCCCTCCCTATATGCAACGTCATCCCCAGACGCCTCTTGTGACCTTCCTGACTTCCTGGGTCCCTTTGTGCAGCACTGACCCAGACCCCTCCTCCCAGTGTCTGAGTCTGACTTCCTAGGTCACGTACTCTTGTCTATGTGCCAATCCCAGATGCCTTCTCCCCGTATCCGGTCCTAGCCTCCTACGTCACTCCCTCCCCCTTGGTGTGCTAAACTCAGACAGCCCCTTCCGGTATCTGACCCTACAATCATTGGCTAGTAAGCAGGCTGGGGAGGAGGGGCTAGGTAGGTTTTTAGGAACAAGCGTGGTCAGATCATGCGCGCTCTCTCCTGGCTCCTGCCCTGTTGCTCTGGCCTTGCTGCTTGGGCTTGCTATGATGGTTTGCTGTGTTGGCCTCTGAATAAAGCTCTGGTGTTGGTGCCTCCCGATGGCTCGTCTCTGTGTGGTTATCCGGCAGAGAACCGAAGACTCGAGTGTGAGTAAGACTCTGGTAGTGTGCTCCTTATAGGAGGAGTGGGTACCGGCGTGCGGCTGGCAGAAGGTCGGCGTGCGGCCAGTATACCAGGCACTGTGCTAAGCACTAGTTAAGTCTTTACAGAAATAGGGACAGACCTAAATAGATAGAGAAATATGAATTACTCACCAGTAGGCTGAATCAATTGGCACCTAGGTGGCACAATGGATAGGGTGTCGAGTCTAAAAACAGGAGGACTCATCTTCCTCAGTTCAAATGTGGCCTCAGACACTTATTAGCTGTGAGATCCTAGGCAAGTCACTTACCCCTGTTTGCCTAAGTTCCACATCTGTAAAACGAGCTGGAAAACGAAATGGCAAACTACTCCAGTACCTTTGCCAGGAAAACCTCAAATGGGGTCATGAAGAGTCAGGACTAAAAACAACTGAACAACAGGCCAAGTCAACATAATAAAAATGACAATAATCACTCAAATTAACTTATTCAAAGCCATACCAATCAAACTACCAAAGGATTACTTTGTAGAATTAGGAAAAAATAATACTGAAATTCATCTTGAAGAACAAAAGGTTCTGAGTCTTAAGGAAATTAATGAAAAAAAAGTGAGAAAGGGGCCTAACAGTACCAGATCTCAGAGAAGTTATGACCAATATTACTTGGTACTGGTTAAGAAAGAGAGAAGTTATTCAGTGGAACAGATCAGGCATACAACATACAGAAGCCAATGAACCTAGTAATCTACTGTTTGAATAACCCAAAGACCTTTGCTACAGATGTAAGAACTCACTATCTAACAAACGCTGCTGACAAAATTGGAAAGCAGACTGTCAGAAACCAAGTATAAACCAGCATATCGAACCAAATATATGCAATCAGGATACATACAAGATAAATTAGAGATAATCAAAGGAAAGGCACTAGCTTTAAGGGGGAATAGGATTTTATCTGAGACTTAAAGGAACCAAATGGGGTCACAGAGAGTGGGACACAACTGAAAGGACTCAACAACAACAATAACAACACAAAATAAAGGAAGAGAGCAAAAAAAACCAGAAGGCAGAAGTGGGAAGGGAGAGAATCCTGAGAGCATTCTAGGCATCTGAGAAGCAGTGTTTTGTGCAAGAAATAGTAAGGGTTAAGGGACATCAGAGTTAAGGGAGTAAGATGTAAGAAAATCAGAAAGGTAGGAAGGGGACAAATTATAAATGTCTTTAAAACCCAAAATAAGGATTTTATATTTGATTCTAGAGGTGATAAGGAGCTAGGAGGGTTTACTGAATAGGAGGGTGACATAGATTTAGGAAGATTTCTCTGATAGCTGAGTGGAGGATGGACTTGAGGCAAGGAGACCATCCAGAAAGCTATTGCAATAGTCCTGGCACAGGGTGCTGAGGGCCTACATAAGGGTGGTGGCAAAGTCACAGGAAAAAGATACAAGAGATGTTGGGAAGTTGAAATTCATAGCCATCTGGCTATCAGAGAGTCAGAACTTGGATGGGAAAAAAAATTACATCTTTATTTTCACTAACTTCTAATTTAGCTTTTAGCTACCCAAAAACACAGTAGTATTAGCAGTACTTGTGACTTCCACTAAAAGAAAGATCAAATATTTTCATGTCATATTACAGTTATTACATATGTATTTGTACAAATATGCTTTGAATTACTAGTTATTAAAGCCTTTGACTTGACTATATTCTAAATGTTATTTAATAAAACACGCAGATTACTGTATCAAAATTTTTAAAAATGTTTAAAAACTGTATTTCAATATCATTGGTTCCCTTTGTACTCCTATGCATTTAAAAGCCTTATTCTGAGAAGGGGTTCACAGGCCTTACCAGACTGCCAAAGCATTCAGAGAACACACACAGAAAGTTAAGAAGCTCTGCTGTAGTAGGTTACTCTCTACTGCTCGGTTTCCAATCTGTTTTTTTGGTCCCCACACAACTACTAAGTGCCAGGCGTTGTGCTAAGCACATAATTATATATATAGATTTGTTAATCCTACTCTATTGAATTAGATAAAGGTTCCCCATTAGATTGTAATCTCCATGAGGGCTGGGATTGTCATTTGCCTTTTTTTGTATCCTCAGTAGTGCCTGGCATTTAGTAGGTACCTAATAAATGTTTATTGAATTGAACTGAAAGTGTACTAAAAGCCAAATCGGGATATGGGGACCAAAAATACAGACTGGAAACCTAGAGTAGAAAGTAATTTACTAGGTATTATAATCATATGTGTCTAATTATATAGTAATAACTTTTAATTCCAATTATAACACATTTTATAATTATAAATTGATGATAAATATAATTATAAAATAGTTGTGTTGTATATTAAAGTTACTGGATATATTATATATTAAAATTGTTGCAAGTATTTATATAATATTTGGGCAGCTAGGTGGTGGTGGGGGGCCTACAGTACCGGGCCCTAAGTCAGGAAGGCTCATCTTGAGTTCAAATTTGAACTCAGACACTAACTAGCTGTTAGAGGGCAACTCACTTAAGCCTGTTTGTCTCGGTTTCCCCATCCATCAAATACACTGGAGAAGGAAATGGCAACCCATTTTTTTTGGGCCAAGAAAACCCCAAATGGGGTTACAGAGTTGGAGAAGAGCGAAACAACATACAATATTTATATTTACACAAAATTAAGTATAATATATGATAATCTACAATTCCTATGCCTTCTATTCAATATAAAAGGAAATAAAATTAACTAGCTTTACATCTCGCTTTAAGGTTTGTAAAGCCCTCTAGAACATCTCATTTGATCCTCAGAACACTCTGCATGGTAGACGCAATTATTATCTCCAATTGACAGATGAGGTAAACTGGGGCATACGGCACTTTCGGAGCAGGGGTGAAGAGGGGTCTCCCACAGAAATCGCGTTAATCATTCAGAGGCACGTAAGAAACCAAATAAAGATTCGCAGACCTCAACAGGCGGACGCTGTTTTTGACCAAACAGGGGCGGGACCCCCTCCCCCCGGCGGGCTTTGGTGCCCCAGGGCGGGTCCGCCCCCGCCCCCGCCCGCAGGAGAACATTACGTGTGGCCCGAGGGTGAGCTCGTTCCCTGCCGGCCTCGCCCTCGGACCCCGGGGAGAGGACGGAATTACGCTCCCCTTCCCCCAGTCCTCGGGAGGGCTCGCGGCCCAGATTTCAGGTCTCCTGTCCCAGGGGCTTGGGCGGGACAAGCGCCGGGGCACAGCTCCGGATCCGCCGGGCGGGGAAGGGCCGCGGGAGTCACCCTCCGCATCCCAGCGCCCCACCACCAGGCACACCCGGTGAACCCGAAGGGCCGCCGGCGCCTCTGCGGAGGGCGCGGGGAGTCGGGGCCCCAAGTGGCCGCCGGCGATTGGTCACTGCCCTTCGCGGGGCGGGGCCACGGCTCCGGCTCCGCCCACGGACGCCTTACGAGCCTGCGTGCTGTAATGGCTGTGGCGGCTTCAGGGGAGGGTTGAGGAGGGGCCGGCGGCGGGGCTGCGAGGCCGCCCCCTGCTCCTCGCAGAAGCCTTCAAATTTCTGGGGCCGGCGGGGCGCGCCACCTTGGGCGCTGTGAAGCTGTGGGAAGGCGGAGACTCAGGCGGCTGCCACTAAGGAGCGAAAAGCGAAGGCAGGAGCCGCCGCCCCCGGGTAAGCTCCGAGGAGGCTGCGACGGGCAGGCTGGGACGACGCCTTCCTTGGCCCAGCCCCTCGCCCCCAAGCCCAGTCCAGCCTTGCTTGTACCCCAGCGCCCCCAGCCCAGCCTTGCCTTGCACCCCAGCGCCTCCAACGCAGCCTTGCCTTGCAGCCCCCTCGCCCGAGCCCAGTCCAGCCTTGCCTTGTACCCCAGCGCCCCCAGACCAGCTCTGCCTTGCACTTTCGCCCCCACTCAGGCTTGCAGCCCCTAGCCCCCAGCTCAACCTTGCTCTGAACCCCCTTGCTCCCAGCCTAACCCCTGCAGCCCCCTCACTCCCAGGTCAGTCTGGACAACCATGCTTCTAACATTCCCTTTGGAAGTCCTGAGACTTTCCTACCTCCATCCCCCGCCCCACTCCAGCCACCTCAACTTTTAAGTGTGAGAGATCCCAACGTCCTCCCCTTTTATTTCCTCTCCCCCTTTAACCATTTTGCATACAGCTAACCTTACAAATTTCTCCACCCCCTGGCACTTCGGAGCATATTGTTTTTCTTAAAGAGCCCCCGATTGCCTTCTGTTCTTAACCGCTTTTGTTTCATCTAAAAGACCCTGAGCACTCTGGGGGAGCTACTTTCTCCATTTCCTCTTGCTGCCTCGGGGGGGGGGGGGGGGGAACAAACACCAAAAAACCTTAGAAGGCCTTGAAGCCAGTTGAGCCTCTCAGTTGTAGGATTAGCTGATTTGGCCTCCTATACTTGGCTCTAGAATCTGTGGTTTACCTCCGCCTCCCCCCCACCCCCCGCAAATGAGTTGTAGTTGAGTTTCAAAAGAGAGGATGTATCCCACCTCTTACACAGGAAGCCCTGTTGTGAAAATTTGGAGACTCCCAGATTTTTGGTAGGAGGACAAAGTAGACCTGGAAATTCTGGAGCCCGGAAGAGAGGGAGGAGTTTCTAAGAGAGGACTGCTCTTAATGCAATAAATGGCCTTTAGATCCATATACAGTGGGTCCATTAACAGACCACAATGTGGGTCTTTTCAGTTTCTTCAATTCCCCTTAGAAATGGAGTACAGTAATCTGTTCTGACTCTTCAGGAAGGTTCTGGGAATGAAAGAATTTACTGTCTGCTTTGCAATTTACCTATTAGTAACCGGACTAAAATAACAAGTTTGCCTGCATTGCAAGCAAGTAACCTAGTGAAGAGATTAGTTAGATTTTTATCCCACTGTTCTATTTCTACTTCAAATTATATACCTAGTTGGTGAAATTCTCAGTGTTTGCCTTAAAAAGCAGGGAGAGGGAAAATAACAATTGTTAAATGAATATTAGGTTTGCCTGTGGTTTTATAGTATAACTTTTATGGCTTTTCTGTAAAAATGCTAAAAAAAAAATAACATTGAATAGCAAAATAACAGTACTATATATATTAAAGTCAAAATTTAACGTTTGGTAATGTTGTAATAGTGATTGATTTACTAACATTTTGTGAAGTAGAGGTATAGTGTGGTTATATGCTGGAAGAGAAGTCAGGGTTAGTTAAGTAAGTTAGAGTAAGAGTTAAAGAAGAGGTTGGGAATACCCACTGTGTGATGGAGAATAAAGGTATTTTCATTTAGCATTGAGGATCCAGTTAATATGTGTTTATAGTAGACACAGTAGGCTGACTTTTTCTCCAGAGGTGCTTTCCTGCACAAGGTGGTGGAGGGTGACTCAAGGATGAGGGTAGGCAAGGTGATCAGCCCCTGGTCCCTTTATGGTGGTGTAGAGTGCATAGTAGAACTGGTTTTGCTGTAGGTTTAAAACTAAAGAAAGGAAAGTAAGGCAGAAGTTTTGGATAGAGGAGAAGGGAGGAATTGTGGGAAGTGATTGTGTTGATTGGAGGTTGGCTGAAGAAAAAATGTAAGAGGAATAAGGTAAAGGAAGAAATGGTAAGCAAGAGTGTATGTATCTCTAGGGCTTCTTCTAGTTCTAATAATGTAGAAATTTCTGAATTGCACTTTATAGTTTTTGATGAAATGCATTATTCACAATTGTTAAAAATTAGGCCTCCTGTGGCAGTGTTGCATTTAGCTTCTAAGAAAAGTTAAATCATTGTCATCCATAGTACATACTTAATGTCATAGTGGGTAGACCACAGGACTTGAAGTCAGGAGGACCTAGGTTCAAATCCCACCTTAGCCCTTTACTAGCTGGGAGTCCCTGGGTAAATCGCTTAAATTCTCTGTTTCCTTATAATAGTACCTGGCTCTCACTGTTGATTTGAGGGCCAAATGAGATAGTGCCTATAATGTACTGTGCAAACCTTAAAACACTATATACATGAAAGCTATTATTAATCAGGACTTAAAACACACCTAAACCACCAGTGTACTGGCAAGAAAAACAATGATTATTACATGAGAGCTCTGTAGGCCTTAAGTGGTCATTGATTGATAAGACAGGTTGAACTGATTGCAGTCCCTGTATAGCTGCATAGTTTATTTGACAAAGGAGTTCAGATGACAGTGGGCCACTGGGAGAAGTGGGGCGGGGGGGACGACTTGAGGTGGGAGCAAAAGGATTCTGACTGTCCTGTGCTAATGTGTTTCATCTGCAAGGTTAGCCTTTGTGGCTAAGCTATGTGTTAGGTATATTTGACAGCTGTTTATTTATTGAGTCCTCCATATGAATGACCATTTGGCTTGGTAGAGAGGTGATGATTCTGTCTACAGAGTAGCAGTAAGGATCATAAATTGCTGCTAAGAGGCTGTCTACCCTATGTGGTGTGATTTGAGGAATACTACTGAAAGACACCTTCCTTCTTTAAGACTCCAAGCAGCTGATGATTTATCAGTGTGGATACTCTATCCGCTGATGCAGATTGTATCACCACTGTGACTTGAACTTTTAAGTTACGATGACCCTCATAGTCATCATTCTGTGGACGTCCCTAGAAGGGGATGTTCAGGAAAGCCAAAGGCGTGGCGCTTTATAGGGAGGGTTCAGGATCTCACAAGTGTGTCTGATGATTCCCTATCTCTGATGTTAAAAGCACAGAGATAGAGGCCCTGACTATGTAGTCATGGGACTTGGAAGTTTTCAGATCTAGACGATTCTATAAAAGGAATGTGGAAATGAGGAAGAGGGACTGGGGTCTAAATCAGAGGTAGCTTGTAAGATTCCAGGCTCCCCCCCCCAAAAAACCAGATTTTTGGGGGGACCACCACAGCTACTAAATCTGTCTTCCACCTTGATCTCTGTCCTGAGCTGCGGGACTGAGTTACCAAGTGATTAGATAGCAAAAGTCTCCTAACTTGTCTTCTTGGATCCAGTCTCTTTTCCTATATACAAAATATTAGACTGGTCAAAGACTTTTCTATAGTTCATCATCAGTTAATTAATAAACATTTATTAAGCACTTGTTTTATGACAGGTGCTTTGCCAGGGTCTGGGTGTACAAGTAAGATGAATAAAACAATCTCAACCTACAAGGAGCTTACACTCTAATGGTGTAGGCAACAAATGTATCAGTCAGTCAACGTTTATTAAATGCCTGCCATGTGTCAGGCACTGTGCTAAGCCATAGGGTTACAGAAAGAGGCAAAAGATAGACCCTGCCCTCAAGAAGTTTACAATCTAATGGAGGACACAACTTGCAAACAAATATATACAAAACAAGCTATACACCTGATAAATGGGAAATAATTAAAAGAGAAAAACACTGGAATTAAGAGAAGTTAAGAAAGGCTTCCTGTAAGAAGCTGGGATTTCAGTTGAGACTTAAAGGAAGCCTTGGAGGTCAGTAGTTGGAGCAGAGGAGGGAGAGCATTCCAGGAGTGGGGGACAGCCAGAAAAAATGCCCCCAGCTGAGAGATGGAGTGTGTATATGTGGAATAAATGCAAGGTAATTAATAAATACAAGGTAGTTTTGGAGGGAAGGCACTAGCATTTGGGGGGAAAAGTTTTGTGTAGAACAGGGCTTCTTAACCTAGGATCTATTAAATTATTTAAATGATTTTTTTGGATAACTTTCAGTATAATTGAATTTCTTTGTAATGCTCTGAATTTTATTTTATGCTTTTATAAACCTCATTCAAAGAAGGGGGTCCGTGGGCTTTTCACCAGAATGCCGAAGAGATCCATAACATGAAAAAGGTTAAAAACCACTGATGTAGATGTCACTTTTGTCTGTTCCTTCAAGAACTTTATATTTGAAGGAAGAGAGGGATTCTGTGAGACACAGATGAAGAGGGAGTGACTTTCTAGACATGAGGGATAGCAAAGGCCTGGAGAGACAGAGGAAGACTGTTTGGATCGAAGATTATTTAGAGTTGAGTAAAATTCAGTGAATCAGGTTGTGAAGGGCATTACAAGCTAAACAGAGTTTATACTTTACCCTAAAGACAATAAGGAGCTACTGGAATTGATGAATAGGGGAGTGACATGGTCTAATGCCCGCTTAAGGAAAATCACTTTAGAGGTATTGTGTGGGGGATGGGCTGAAGTGGTAAGAGATTTGTGGCAGGGAGACCAGGTGTGAAGCTGTTGCAGTAATTAAGGTAAGGGGTGATATGGACCCCTGAACCAACGTGGTGGCTGTGTGGGTAGAGAGAAGGGGTCAGTTACAAAGAGGTAGACATGTCAAGATTTTGGTAATTGGTTATCATGTAGGATAAAGCAAAGTTAGGAGTCAGGTCAGCAAGCATTTATTAAATGCTAAATATGTGCCAGGTACTGTGCTGATAATTAGCATTATCCAAGTTAATGCTGAGGTTTGTGAAAGACTGAAAGAATAGTGGTGCCTTTGACAGAAATAGTGAAGCTTGGAAGAGGGAACCAGAATTCCATCACCTAGCATCCCAGCTGCTTTCTAGCTTTCCCAGAAATTTTTCATAAGTAGTTTATGTTTTCAGGGAATTTCACTGGGCTATTGAATTCCATTGTTTCTGATTCTCTTTTGTCTAGTCTCTTCCATTGATCTACTTTTCTATTTTTAATCAATACCAAATGATTTTGATGTCTGTTGCTTTATAATATAGCTAAGACTATAAATTGGAGAACAGTTGCTACTCTGTTGATAGTTCTCTCACTGGAAATTCCTTACACTAATGAAATGACAAGTTAGATGCAAGAGCAAAAAAAAAGAAAAAGACAAGAAAGGAAGAGATAAGTAGAGAAAGAGGTAACATGGTCAGCCTGAGTATTTCACTGATGAAAACCACTGAATATTTAAAAAAAAAAACCCTAGAGGAAAACTGCAATGCAGTCGGGCAAAAATTAGGTTTAAACCAGTATTTTAAATTATATTACACATTAAATTTAAAATGGCTACATGACTTGAATATTAAAGACCATACCATTTTCATTATTTATTAATTTTTTTTAATTTACTTATTTTCAGTTTTCAACATTCACTTCCACAAGATTTTGAGTTCCAGATTTTCTCCCCATCTCGT